CATTGACCATACCGTTCACCAGCCCCCACCCCCCTATGTTGAGTAGGCTATACTCTTTGTTTAAAACTAATTGGCCATCGGAATGTGTGTGTCCCAACCCCCCCCCTGTGATATCTCTTCTCCAGCAGTCTGTAGGTTTGTGTTCGCATATTTATGCTGTCGCAGTTCCTGTTGTTTCTATCGCGCATTGCCGGTATGAAAGGGTCTGTGCCCGGAAATATCAAGATAACACGGCAGGGTCCGTTACAGTTTGTTTTCTTCTGATTTCAAATAAACAAAGTCTTGGCTTTCAGAATATTAAACTTGTTTCGGCAAATTTAGATGATAAATACAACTATGAAGCTTGTAACGGCATAATTACTTAAGCGGAGAACGGAGTAATTTAACGTTACAGCAGGCATAACAACAGCCGGTGTTTATTTATTATTATATATAGTCGTTATTCATTTGTTTTAAAGCTCAATAAGGAAGATTTAAACTTTCACACACAGCTTTTTCCAGCAGTACCTACCCCCCTCTGAGTGAATACCTGTTGTACCTGTCCGGGGCTAAGCCCATAGGACGATGCTCTGTTGTCAACCCCCCCCGTTGACAATTCACGAGCGTCTAACTCTCTCCCCCCTCCCCCGTCGCACCTTCTAATAGAGCCCCCCCACATATCAAATCCCAATTTAACCCCTGGCCTCTGGAGCAGAAATGAGTTTTAAAAATGTTTACGTTTTGGTACGTTTTTAGGGAAATTTTGTAATATTGCAACGTTGGCCTTAGGTGGGAGCAGAATTTCTGTATTTCTACTCACATTGTCTGAATAAATATATTGAACAACTAAGGGTTAATTTGCAGGATTGATTGCTTACTTAGCCCTATATCAGTATATAGCATGAATAATAATCACACATCACTCATATTTGTTATGAATAATCATTTATCATTTATTAAATAGTAAGTCGCTTTGGATAAAAGCGTCAGCTAAATGCAATTTATGAAAGCCTCACTCAGGACCTTTTTAACAAGTGTTTTTATTGCTCTTGGGGCATTAAAAACAAGATTTTAACTTTAGTTTTTTATATAATATCTGCATTTTCTCTTGTGAAAAACTAAGTCTTAGTTTGGCCATAGTTATTTAATATATAGCGCCATCTCCTGGTTAAATCCTGAAATTGAAAATCTGGCAACGCGCTCTTGGAAAATAGTGGGAGGGCTTAACATTCCCAGATACTGGTCTTTGGCAGGTCTTAGGCAGGTAACTGGCTGGTAGTAGGCAGGAAGCTGTATGCTGGAGTCTGAAATAAGATGCTCCATCTGTATGTCTCAAAAACAAATATTAGATTTCTTTAATGGCCCCAAAGCCAAACAACCAAAAAACCCTATCGACTCGGAGTCCCTGCAGGTGGACACAGACAACTGTCACTCCAGCAACCCGGAGGAGAGAACACCCGCGGCCGCGGCTCTTGTTAACGACGTTGTCCCCCGTCCAGTAGCTAACAACAACTCAGTTGCCCTCGATGAAGAGCCTTGCCAGCCCAAGAAACATTCACCCGATCCTTCAATTCAGGCTGGTTTAAACAGTGGACATGGTTTCACTATATAAAATAAAATGATAATGCGGTGTGCTTCTTCTGTTGCTCTGCAATAGAAAAGAAGCTCGTCAGTGCAGACAAGAACAGGGATGGGAGTTTTGTTAAAGGAGGGATTAACAACTGGCGAAAGGCAGGGGAAACATTTAGGGAGCATGAGAAGTCCCATCAACACACAGGCCGTCAACAAACTGGCAGCATTAAAACGAACACCAATTAATGCGCTGCTCTCACAAGCTGTTGCTAAGGAACAAATGACTGCACAGACTGTGACATATTTCCACCACCCCTGAGCGCAAGACCACCTTCGGTGTTCTGTAGCCTATGCTGTGTGCGCGAAGAGAGAGTCAGAGAGAAGTTCAGAGTTACTCGTTATTGATATTTTCGGATGGTTGCTCTGTGTTCACTTAAATAAAATAAATAAATACGTTCATTTAGCGCTTTTCGAGCATATCGCACAGCCGAATTCACAAAAATGTGCAATTGTGTAAAATGTGTAAATTGCCACTGTAAGAAACCTATGATTATTCATGTAGGCCTATTCCGTTTTAATCTGTTTAATCTCTGTTAACTCTACATCTGTTATTGTTATACAATCTGGTAAAACTATAAAGTTCAAGTGCGTTGTTATTGCTACCCGGCTGCGTCTCAATCAACAATAAATCGTCTTCTGATTAGAAAAAAACCTGCTGCATTTCGTGTGTGAAATCCCCCCGCCCCCCGCACACCCAGCTCTGACTGACTTCCCGCGTCCCTGGCATAGCAGTGGAAGTTGATGTTATGTTGTCTGATGATATGACCCAGAGGTAATAAATAGATTAAAAACAGGATCGGCCCCAGCACTGAGCCCTGTGGGGGCAGAGTATTACTCAAAAAGTACACAGTAAAAGTACTTCATTGTATTTGTGGTTGTAGTCTAACAAGTACTGAGTCCAACAGTACCAATTTTATTCAGAACTTATGGCTAAAAATCATTTGATCTCTCATCAAATATAGCAGAAGTGGCATGATTTTGTTCTCAGGAGGGGACTTTGAGAGAGTATCACCCAAAAAGTACACGTTAAAAGTAGTTCATTTTATTGTTGGTAGCAGTCAAACTAGGACTGAGTCAAACAGTGTCAGTTTTATTAAGAACTTATGTGCCGCTTCTCGGGGATTACCGTAAAGGCCCGATTAATTGCGCACTCAAAAATGAAAAGCTGCTGATTTGACCAAGCAAACGCGAGAGACGGCTGAGTTGACCGCAGTACCGGAACGGACGACAGTATCTTAGGTCGCATTCACACCTAATAGTCCGCTTCTCTGGTGCGCACCAGACGACCGTTTGTTACATTGTTTCATTTTTCAGAAGGTTCGGTTTGCGTTCACACGGGCACAATTCAAACGGACTATAAACTTTAAACACAAGTCATGTGCACGGAAATGCTGTTCAACGATTGATCAGACATTACGGGGGTACAAACGCAAATCCCGGCAATTTCTACCGGAGCCTCCGCCATGGAGCATCGGCAGGTCATTTTCATGCTGTTGTTTATCTGGAGAGCATATCTACAGCAACGGCGCATATGATTATATAATCAGACAACGTGCGATACAAAACATTATAACACATATAATGAGAGACGTTCTGCAGTAAGGAGGGGGTTTCACCGACGGCAGGTGGCTCTGACTTTTATGTATAGTTTTTAGTTTGATAGTTGTTTTTACTTTACACGACACTGTTCAACACTTCATTCTGGTTCACTCTTTCGCTAAGGATTTTGAAGACACCCGCGTTCTTGTGACTCATAAATACTACGCTTCCTATGTTTTGGTGCGGACTGCGTTCACACCAGCGATGAACCGCTCCAGAGTTCACTAGCAAGCGGTCCGAGACCACCTCTTTTAGACGAACCAGAGTCCGGTTGTTTAGTTCACTTCAGAGGTCTCGGACTGCGTTCACACCGACCCAAAGAACCGCACCAAGCGGGTAAACGCACCAGGGTTCAATTCAACCGGACTATAAAAGGCTGGGGTGAATGCGACCTTAATATCTTCTGAAAACAAATGCCAGTGTCACACACACACACACACACACACACACACACACACACACACACACACACACACACACACACACACACACACACACACACACACACACACACACCCTGGTGACCGGACATCTCCTTCATAAATAGAATAATAAGGCGTAATAATCGGGCAGTTCACAGCTCCACTTCCTACTTGGCGAACCTGTAACTTTCTTGTGTGCACGAGAACGTATCTCTTGCGTAAGAGAAAGTGTATTGTGATGAGCAAAACCATGTCACTTGGCCCAGGTGGTTTCCACAGAACGGACAAAATATGTTTAACGACCATAAACACACTCGTACCGTCCATACCGGCGGTCTATCCACCAAAACAAACGTAAGTTTGTGTCAATCACTTGCACGTCACTTCTGGTATGATGGGCATTCCCTTTCCGGTTTGATTCTCTAGTTTGTTAAAGTGTTTCGGGAAATGTTAAAGTGTTTCAACACTTGTAAATTTGTCTCTAGCTTTGTAAAAGTGTTTCGTATCTTGTTAATTTGTTTTTGTTAATGTTAAATAGTTTTTTCTTTGGTAAAAGTGTTTTGTTAATGTAATTTTGTTTTATAAAATGTAAATTTGTCTCAAGCTTTGTTAAAGTGTTTCACACTTTGTAATTGTCGATTGCACCTCTCAGCCACCGTACTAATCACATATCCTAATCTAAATGGTTATTTTCTAGCCTGCATAAGTGTTATAATTAATAACAGTAAAGCTGGCATTATAAGGCTATTTGGAAGCGCACTACAGCTGGCAAAGCACAAGGTGAATACATTTGCTAATGTTAATTAATGCTAGCTAGATTGGCCCATTTGAGCAAACAAACATTAGCATTAGCTAACATTAGCACAACAAAAACAGCTAAACTATGCAAAAATTATGAATTAAACTAGCAATAACAGTAATTTGAAAACCACGTAAGAGTTGCTAGCTGTGGTTAGCCAACCTAACCAAAGTCTTAAGTTTAGTTCAGGTAGTTTCCTGTTTAACGCTACAATACCCCCCGTTTTTACGTCACTGCTTATTGTCGGGTTTCCAGGCGTTGTCTGGAATTCTAAATCCTGCCCTGTTTGTCCAGAACATTTGACTAGACCATTCGTTATTGCATATTAAAACATTGCATATAAATATTTGTGAACCATTTTCTTTTGCAAACAGAAAGGCCCTTTATGTCCATAGCCTACATGAATTGAGCTTTGATCAAATTAACATGGACCTTTGTCGTACTACTTCAACAATAGCCAAGCACTGACTGAATATATCACAGCAATTTGTTTTGTTTTAACCTGTCATACTTTTTCAGGAAACAGATAATCAAAATATATGTAATTACAATTTCCTTTTTATCCCCAGAGTGTAGACATGTCTGCTGCCAGCTGTCAGCTGACTGAAGATCAGTTTCTGTGCTCCATCTGTCTGGATGTGTTCACTGATCCAGTCGCCATACCATGTGGACACAACTTCTGTAAAGCCTGCATCTCTGAACACTGGGATAGAAATGTCCAGTGTCAGTGTCCCAACTGTAAAGAGGATTTCGACAGAAGACCTGTACTACGCGTCAACACTTTCATCTCTGAGATGGCTGCTCAGTTCAGACAGTCAGCTCAACAGAAAGCCAGCAGCAGCAGCTCAGAGCAACACGTTGTCAAACCAGGAGAAGTTCCCTGTGACGCCTGCACTGGAACCAGACTGAAGGCCCTGAAGTCCTGCCTGGAGTGTCTGGAGTCCTACTGTGAGACTCACCTGGAGCCTCACCTGACAAAGAAAGGCTTAAAAAGACATCAGCTGATCGACCCTGTGGAGAACCTGGAAGGCAGGATGTGTGTGAAGCACGATAAACTGCTGGAGCTGTTCTGTAAGACCGACCAGGTGTGTGTCTGCATGCTCTGCACTGTTTTAGACCACAAGACACATGATGTTGTTCCTCTGAAAGAAGGATATGAAGGAAAGAAGGCTGAGCTGGGGAAGACAGAGGCTGACATTCAGCAGATGATCCAGAAGAGACGACTGAAGATTCAGGAGATGAATCGCTCAGTGGAGCTCAGTAAGGAAGGAGCAGACAGAGAGATAGCAGATGGTGTTCAGGTCTTCACCGCTCTGAAGGAGTCTGTTGAGAGAAGCCAGGCCGAGCTCATCGACACCATCAAAGAGAAGCAGAGAGAGACAGAGGAACAGGCTGAAGGCTTCATCAAAGAGCTGGAACAGGAAATCTCTGAGCTGAGGAAGAGAAGCTCTGAGGTGGAGCAGCTCTCACGCTCTGAAGACCAGCTCCACCTCCTCCAAAGCTTCACGTCCCTGAACACTGCTCCACCCACCAAGAACTGGACAGAAGTCAGGGTCCGTCCACCTTCATATGAGGGGACTATGAGGAGAGCTGTGACTCAGCTGGAGGAGACGCTCAGTAAACAGATGAAGAAGCTGCTCGAGGTGGAGCTGAAGAGGGTCCAGCAGTATGAGGTGGAGGTGACTCTTGATCCTGATACAGCACATCCTGCACTCATCCTGTCTGATGATGGAAAACAAGTTAAACATGGTGAAGTGAAGAAGAATTTCCCAAACAATCCAAAGAGATTTGATGATAGTTACTCTGTGTTAGGAAAGCAGAGTTTCTCTTCACCAAGATTTTATTACGAGGTTCAGGTTCAAAGTGTGTCTGTCTGGACTTTAGGAGTGGCCAGAGAGTCGATCAACAGGAAGGGAAAGATCACACTGATCCCTGAGAATGGTTTCTGGACCATAGGTTTGAGTAATTTCAACAAGTTCTACGCTTGCGCTGACCCTGCAGTCCGTCTCTCTCTGAAGTCTCCACCTAAGAAGGTGGGGGTGTTTGTGGATTATGAGGAGGGTCTGGTCTCCTTTTATGATGTTGGTTCTGCAGCTCTGATCTACTCCTTCACTGGCTGCCGCTTCAAAGAGAAACTCTACCCATGCTTCATTACTCGGAAAACTGTCTTAGTCCTGGTAGGGTGCATCTTAGGGAATATAAAGATTGACCGTCTGATCATCACTCCTGTCCATCACACAGAGTAAAAAAAACTGTGGATTTTCCACAGAGGGATTAGTTATGATTTAATTTAAGAAATGTGTATTAACTGGTGATGTAAAGGGTTTTCATTGATCTATCAGATGCTTATTTTCTTTCTGTTAACATGTCTTTGATGTTTCATATGTCCTACTACTTATAACCAAGGACAGCGCACTGATCTATATTATTCAATACAGTCTCATTAATCTAATGATTGATTACCTTTCTTAAGACTGTTAAATTATCATAAAACTATATGTTCTTAGAAATTAGAAGCATAAAAAGTTCCCTAAATGTCCATGGTGCCGAGGGCAAAGCCTTCACCTGTCTGATCCTTGAATACATCACAAGAGTTGATCAGCGGCACTCATTACTCAAAGGAACAGTCATGCTCAGAGCATTGGGGGGGGGGGGGCATTAATTGCCGGTGCACATTGTTCAGAAGAATATGGAATATTGGTAATATTACACCATATCACTTATGGTGTAAGGAACCATATAATAACAGAGTTATTCTTTAAAACTCTATTTTCTTGGAATTGAAAGAATATCATTGACATTTTAAAAGTCAAGGCCATTTAGAAAAGGATGTATTTTTTTATGAATTACTTTTTACTAGCATGAACATGTCTGTTATTAATTATTAAGAATGGTTTTGATTAAAATGTTGTTCATGGTTGATAATGATAATAATGTTTATCTTTGATTTATTGTTGTTATGACGGGATGAGGTGTTGATAAGGCTGTAAATCTGTGTTTTTAGAGTGGAATCAATGACTTTAAAGTATGTTAATGGACGTAGGAAGGAGTGCAAATGATCATGCTTCTGCTAATGGGGATCATAATAATCTAAATAAAAAAAATGAAAGCAAAGCAAAGTGTTTATTGTGTTTCATTCAGACATAGACATCATAGATATAGTAGATATCAAAGCTTAACAATGGCTGAAACTATAAAGCATTACTTGATTTGTTGAGACATCCAATGGCTTTACTTACGATTGTTGTGACTTCATTATACTTTGAACTACGCAACTTCCAACAGGAGTAATTTTGGGGGGCTCTTGGGAAAAAAGGTTGGGAACCCCTGGTCTAATGGATAGTGAGGTGGGCTGAAGATCGGAAGGTCGTGAGTTCAAATCCCGCCTGGAACGCCACCACTAGTGTGCCCTTGAGTAAAGCACTTAGCCCTTAGTTACTCCAGGGAGAATGTCCCTGTAATTGGTCATTGTAAGTCGCTTTGGATAAAAGCGTCAGCTAAATGAAGGAGAGGAGGTTCGACCAAGCCTGGTTGACCTCGTGTGGATCCTCTCACTATTTCACCTACCTGTTTTTGATCGTGAACAGGACGACCCTTTTGAGCTTTTTCTGGTGCCTGAGAGGAGGTTCGACCAGACGGTTGACCTCGTGTGGACACTCTCGCTGTTTCACCACCTCGACGGCGGTTTCGGCCGTCGCCCACGCTTTCGACAACGCCTGGGTGGCGCACTTCTGGACCCCGTCTCCCCTCTTCCCTCGCCTCGACGGTTCCGGACGTCGCCCATGCCTTCATCGGCCCGTGGGTGGCGCACTCCGGGACCCTGTCCGGCCTCTTCCCTCGCCTCGGCAGTTTCGGACGTCGCCCATGCTTTCATCGGCCCATGGGTGGTGCGCTTCGGGACCCTGCCTGGCCTCTCCTCTAACCGCGGCTCACGGTTCACCTCGACGGCGGCTTCGGACGTCGCCCACGCTGTCATCGGCGCCTGGGTGGCGCACTTCTGGACCCCGTCTGGCCTTTCCCCTATCCATGGCTCCTTCCTCCCGAGGACTTCGTGCCCGCCGCCGCTGTGCCCTCGCCTGCGGCCGGGCAGCGCTCCTCCCTTCTGGGGACCTCCGGGATATTCACGCCCGTCCCTACGTCGCAGCACAGCGACCCAGCTTTCTATGGCTGGCGGATGTTTTCTTCATTCGCCACGACGCCTACTGCGGCACCCTTACGACGGCCCCCTTACGACGGCCCGTTCCTGCCCGCCCCCCACCCCCCGGTGGGGATGCCCTCGCCCTCGTTGGGGCTCCTGCCCTCTCCTGCCCTCTCCTTCCGACGGCCCGTTCCATGGCCCGGCCCTCGCCTGCGGCCCCACCCTCCTCGGCCCCTGTGATGCTTCCTCTCGGACGCGAGGATTGTGTCCATGGTTGAATTCTGGGGGGGCTTGTGTAGTGATCACTGATTGATACATAATTCACTCATGGAACTACAGGTTGGGGGTATTGTTCCGCATGGACATATATGTGACTGTACCTCCTGTGTACCTACTGTGTGCCCTCCTTTCTCTTCTTCCCTTCTCTTCTGCTCCGACCCGACAACATGTGTGTTTCTGCTGCACAATAAAGCTACCTTTTGCACCTTCGATGCACCGCCTCCAACTCCCATCTCTCGGCACTACATACAGAATTAAACACTGTTGTCTACAAGTAATTCATAATTTCATCAACATAAATATTATTCCTTCAAAAACAACAAGGTCTGCTTAAAACGGATAGTTTTTAACCTAATTGACACTCATACAATCACACATTTCCTGACCAATCACGTCCAAGCCCTGGCACAAGATGGCTTCCAGGACTGAACAAAGTAATCACTGATTACTTTGTGATTATTACATGGCTTAGTTGAATACTCGATTCTGATTGGTCAATTCAGAACACGTGACACGTTGTTAATCCAGAACAGACAGACCGCTGTCAAGGACTTATTGACCGTTGTTAAGGACGCTCACATCTGCACAAAGAAGTCTGTTCGATTTAACTGTGGATACAGTTTGGCCGAAAAGCAAACTGCATTTGCTTTTCTAACTGACAAGACAAGAGCGACAAGGAAACAGCGGAGAAGTAACGGGCAGAAACTCTCCTTTTTACGCAGCGGTCCAGACATAGACATCAAACGGCGACACATATTCAGTGTGCAGTGACTTTGGCATTAGGGCAGGGATATCTAGATACTTCCCAAGGTTTGACATAATGAATTGTGCTACTTTTAAAGCAAGCAACGATGTTTTCAAATCTGTAATCAAAAAGCTCCGCCTTCCTGCCGTTGCTACGTTTTTCAAACGGTAACAACGGACTATTTTCCTTAGCGGATGCATGTCAATTTAAATCAATACATACAACTATTTTTTAAATCAATAAAATCATTTTCTAAATCCATAAAAGCATTTCAATTAATAGTGGGAGTCATATCATTACTTTGTTGAGAATGTGGCCATGTAATAAGCGGGATAATGTGCAGCGACTTGGTCATTATGAAGAACTCCGGAGCTTTGGGGACAGAGCATTCTCTGTGGCAGCCCCGAAGCTCTGGAACTCCCTCCCCCAAGACCTCCGTGAGTCTTAGTCCCTCACCCTGTTCCAGTCCCGCCTCAAAACCCATCTCTTCAAATCTGTATACCCATAAGCCCACCCCCCCACCCCCCACTTCCTCCTGACTGCTTTCTGTTTTTTTTTTTGTTTTTTTGTTTTCTCTGTTTTGTTTTTGTTTTGTTGTTGTTTTGTTGCCTGTCCTTGTCTGTCTACCCTTCCCCAAATGTAAAGCGTCTTTGGGTTTAGAAAAGCGCTATATAAATAGAATTTATTATTATTATTATTAACACCTTAGCAGATCTAGATCCCTCCGCTTCGTGTCGGGCTCCTGATCAGCCTGTCGGTGTTCTTTTCCCCATAATGACCGCGTCGCTGCACATTATCCCTTACTTGTCTGTTTTAAAGACTGAAAAATTAATTTAGATGCATTTGATTGATTTGTCTATGTAAACTGTTTTTATAACTTTAACTGAAATAAAGTCAACTCTGAAGAAACATGTACTACCTTTCTTAACAAACAAATAGTTAAGCCAAATGTTAGTGAGGGAGTGTGTGTGCTTCCTCACATAATGATTGATCATGAAAGTGTTCTCAAAGCTGGTAAAGGTGCAGCTAGTTTGAATGACTTTGTATACTGCAGGGTAGCTTGTGGATTTACTCCAGGTGGAACTAAAGTCTGATTTAACACTTGATTATATTTCACATCATTCATCCACATCTGTGAAGTAACTAAAGGTATTCAATACATGTAGTGGAGTTTGTTATTTTATTTTGAACAAACACATCGCACAATATCATCCAAACCATCGGAGGCCAAGCAACTCTTCAACTCTAAGTAATATAAAGGAAAGAAAACGAGTTAGAAATGTCTGTTGAAGGCGTCTAGTGGCTTGAAAGAAAAACAAGGAAGGAAGCCACGACACTAAGAAGACAAACACAGTCAAAACAAAAAGCTGATAAGTACACCTTGGTATAACAAAACTTATAGCAGTCTATTTTTGGTGTAAATTAATACCAGACGTGGGAAGTAACTAAGTAGATTTACTCTGTACTTAAGTACACTTTAGAGGTACTTTAAATATAAAAAATATATAAATAAAGAAATAATAAATTAATGTATGAATAAAAACAGGAATACAATTATAAAATAATAAATAATCATCCAAATAAATACAGGAATAAATAAATACAAGGAGAATTAATGAATACATGCATAATTAAATATGGGAATATTAGTTTATTCTGCTATGAGTACTTTTACTATTACTACTACATCAATCAATGTTTATTTATATACAGCCCAATATCACAAATGTTATGTCTCAGTGGACTTCACAGTTTGTACAGAATATCAGTATGACAATACGACACCCTCTGTCCTTAGACCCTCTGTCCTTAGACCCTCTGTCCTTAGACCCTCACATCGTACAAGGAAAAACTTCCGGTACATGTTCCTAATGGTACTTAAATACTTTAACTTCAGTACCATTCTTGATGCAGTACTTTGACTTGAAATTGAGTCTTTGTACAGTGTGGCATTACCACTTTTACTCAAGTAAACAATCTGAATACTTTTCCCAGCCCTGCCCACAGAGGACTTTGAATAAAGAGTATGTTTTACTGATTTTAGATTTCCCCCCAGAGAGCCACAGTGAGAGGAATGCTGCAATGTGGCACTTCCTGAATGAAAGTATTTCTGATCGAGAGCAGAGCTGCCGTCGAGACAAGGCTCTCTATTTCTCCTTAAAGGAACATTAAACTAATCTTGAACACCACAGCAGGATCTCTGCCAAACCCCGGTGAGTACAGAGACGAGACCACCAACTGAATATCTGCTCAACATTTAGTTTCAACTATATCCAGAGAACAGTGACTCCAGATGAACTCATGCTAAAGCTAACAGGCCTCACATGCTTTCTGTCAGAGTTTCTCAGTTTGTCTTTGTACGGCAGCACAGCTGAGGATATTTACTGCGTTTCAACAACCAGTATTTGCTCTCAACGTCAGACAGGAAGTTCCTCTCTTTAACTGAGGTTTGCTGTGGGGGTTTCCTGGTATTAGCGTTCACATTTTCTTCTGCGTATGTGTTTGATTCTCTGCTGTCTCCCTCTCTCTGATTTTCCTTCCTCTCTGTTAGGAACGTGACACAGACACTTGGACTCAAATGCACGACTCAAAAATAAGTTTGCTGTTCTAAAAGGTCTTGACTTGGATAAAGACAAGGTACAAACAAAAACTCACTCATGAGTCAAAACGTAGAAAAGCAAACTTCAAACATGGGAACTAAATAAACTTGACGATGAAAACTTGCTACAAAAGTCTCTTGTTATGAAAAGCTGGCTCTCTTGGTGAGACAAGATGAACTGGCACAGGACAAAGGGAGACGAGGACTATATATACAATAGGTATTGGGACACAGGTGGCTGACAGTTCTGCCCCTTTCACACCAACGCGGTTTCAGGGCCGGTTCGGAGCTAGAGCCTGAAAAGCACCGTTTCTTCCTGTTCACACCGCAGCGGAGCCGCCTCGAAGCTCCAGAATCCA